GGAATACGTTCATAATTTGCGTCTGCGTTTTGAGCCTGCGTCAGCATTCCTAACGACTAGGAAAATATAAGTATCGGCCTAGCGCTCTGAGTGTACGCTGACGTTCTTTCCTAGTCGCTGAGAAAACTGACGTAGACTATAAACGCACTGCTACTGAACGTCTTTGTAAATGGTCGGGCGGAAAACAGGCGTAGCAAAGTCTCGCCTCCAGTTTTTCTTCCCTTGTTTACTCGAGTTTTGTTACAATGATATTAGATGGAATTTTCACTGAAAATTGCAGTTCCTGAATATTGTTGGACAGGATGAAGCACGTTGTTTGACGCTGAATGTTTTCTCTCCACGATGGGCTCAAGATAGCGTGAGTAGACCTAGATTTAGTACAACTTACTATCGTAACGACGAAGTTCGAGAGCACTTCTCTAGCTCCTTCGACTCTGGGCGGAGGTGGTGTAACGGGAAGGGGTACGCTTAACATTCGAGCGGTCGTGGGTTTAGTCGCTTAGACTCAGCCTTAGGCCAACCAGTGGTTTTATTGGCCCGTGCGTTTGTGCTTCTCCTCTTGGGTTGTTTCGGCTTTCAATGCCGGAAGGAGGCCGCCTCAAAAGAACGTACAATAGCAGGCCTGGCTCCGCCCATACAACCAATGTGGAACATTTTTTTACTGTTTTTAATGGTGAAGGCAGTTGGGCAGAGCTTCTTGCTTCTGAGAAAATCTGCCAGTAGCTTCCTTTTTCTCAATTATGGCAGAATTGACAAGAGAAAAATTACCACCTTTTTAACCTCACAATTTCAGAATGGGATTTCCGTGCTCTGATTTCCGGTAATCAAAGTGTGAAACCCGCGGAAGGGAGTCCCGCGTCAGCATGACTCGCGTTAGGTTGACGTGCACAAGATAGGTGGTAGCTGACCCGGCGCACTGCAGCACTTCCGCATTAAATCGAATAGGTCCTGGTAGGGACGTCGCGCGGTGACGTCACCTGCACCGTCGTTTTTGCCATGTCTCCGACCTTGGGTCTCCTAGCTTACAACAACGAAATCTCTCAATAATCAGCAACTTGACCCCTATAATGGATATTATTTTTTCACCTCTTCACGTTAGTTTCAGAAGGAGAGACTGGCTGTCATGGTGTGGATTCACGGCGGAGGATTCTCCATACATTCAAGTAGCAACTATGGTGACACGTCCATAGCCAGGTGCATTGGTTGACTAGACTAAACCAGGATTTGACCCGAAAGTCTTGTCTTTTCAGGAATCTTTGCGCCAAGGACGTTATCGTCGTTTCTGTCAATTATCGCCTTGGTCCGCTCGGGTTCTTCACCACTGGCGATGACGTACGGCGAGGATGTCTGCGAGGTGAGAGCCAGATCGGCCTTTGAGCGGATCGTATGTCTTCTCAAATCCTAAGTGCAACCTTTGCCCAGTTGTGAAATGAATGTCCTCATTTATGCTATCTGGGGCTACCGGTCAACTGCTCCTTCTGCTCTTAAACTGCCATGATTATATTACCACTTTTCACTTCCAAATTTTCACCCATCTTTCAAGCCAAGAATTCACCCGTTTTTAACCAAATTTCACCGTTTTCAAAACATTTCGCCCCTTTTCAAACCCAGAATTTCACCCGCCCTTTCCAAATAGACTTCATTCGCTTCCAAATCGATTTCGCCACACTTTATTAGGCTGCGCAAGGTCTTACGAAAGTTACGACAGACCTCTGGCGGGGCCCGGCCCCTCGGCACGCCCCAGTTGCTTTTTGCGGAATTTTGACATTTTTTCAAAATGTTTGCATTTTTGGACTGCTGCTTGAAGCCCCGCCCACTGTTGGAGGCTCCGCCCACTTGCAGGAAGGCCGCCACTTCTCAAAAACGGTGAAATGACGGACCAGAATTAGCATAGTCTTGGCCTTTATATGCGGGTCCTTCGTTCAGTCACTCGGATTAAGAAAACCAGCGCGAAGAGTTTGCTTCGGAGTGACGAACGGACCCTAGCCTCGAAAGCAAGACCACCTATACAGCCGATTCCCAACCGTATTTTGAGAAGTCGGGCGCGGGGCTTCTCCAAAGTGGGCGGAGCCGCCAACCAGTGGCGGGGCTTTCAAGGCAGCAGTCAAAATTGCAAACATTGGTGTGTTGAAAAATTGTCAAAATTCCGCAAAAAGCAAGTGTGCGTGGCCGAGGGGGCGGAGGGCCCGCAGTAGTGTCTGGCGTGATTTGGCTAGATGTCTTGCGCAGCCTAATAAGTGTGGTGAATTCGATTTGGAAGAAAGGGGTGAATTTGGTTTTGAAAGGGTGAATTTAAAGTGAAAATGGTATATGTTAACTTACCTGGACACAGAAAGAGAAGCCTAACCTGGGAAAGATGGCGACAGGTCCTATCTGAGGAGGAGTCATGACTCAACATTCCATGACGCACTATGCAGCAGCAAATATCCGCAGCTAAACACAAAATTCACGCCGGGGCGCGGTTGCGGCCTGGAGGACACTTTGCACTTTTGCTTATGCAGCGTCGGTCGGACGATAGTTTAAAAGAGTCTTCACTATGGTCGGACTGTGTAAACGTCCATGTAGGGAGTAATTCGCTTCAGTCTTGCATGTCTTCACAGGTATGGCTTGTACAACCGTTAGTAATGAGTACGACATCCGGTCCCATCGAGGCAAGTTGCAAAATTTTTTAAATCTGTTTCGTTGCTCCTAATGTATTTATATTCACCGGCAGATATGGGACTCTGGGACCAGACTCTTGCTTTACGTTGGGTACACGACAACATTTCGGCGTTCGGAGGAGATCCAGGAAATGTGACGGTGTTCGGCCAGAGTGCCGGAGGAGCCAGTGCAGATCTGCTCGCTATCAGCCCTCATTCAAGAGGTTCTGCTGTTGCTTGACTTTTAAAAGCCTACTGCATGCTGTTCATATAGGCGGACTCTAGCATCCCTCGAAAAAGGAAAGCTCATCCTAGAAAAGAGGGACGCGCCATTAAGGGACAGTGGTCAGCCGAGCTCCGCCCATACGACAAGCGTGGAGTAAGATTGCAGATTCTTGGAGGCTGCTCAATAGGGCCTTGTTTTAGATCTGTTCCACCGAGTGATTCCGATGGCGGGTTGCGGTGAGTGCGACTTTGCGATGCGCACTAGCGAAGCGCAAGCCACACTGGGCCGAGAGTATGCGAGGTATCTGGGTTGGACTGGAGCAGGTACTTAAGTTATCCAGCTTTCAACGTCATCGATTACTATAGAAAGCTTTAAGATGACGATACAAAAGGTCTTATGCATTTTATGGAAGCTCAGCCATCTTCTCGTGTTGGGATGGGGGTACATCCAAAGAAGGTAAGGGATGCACTGCGTGCCCATTTCCATTGCTAATTAATATTTTCAAGGGATTCCGCTCTTCAATATCTGGTAACCTGCTATTTGTGCCAAATTTCGATGGGGATTTCTTCCCGAAACCGATGAGTGAGCTAAGACGTGAAAGTCCACGAAAAACCATTATGACTGGCACTACCCAACATGAGGGACTCTTCTTTGGTATGACAATCGAAGCTTGGTTGGTTAATCAAATCGAATTGTAATTATGGCATGTTCCAGTTGCTCTCGGTGGCTTGCTAAAACCAAAGAAGGGTTTGGGCGATTCTGCAGGAGCGTCATTAAAGAGTGCGACTACGAGGCACGATGTGGAGGAATTGTCGGCGAGTGTTTTTATGAATTTTACATGAAAGACGTTCGGCTTCCAAGCGACCAAGCAAGATTGTCTCTCGAGCGACTTGTTGATTGTGTAATCTTCTATCGCATATCTCTTTAGAATTGATACAGTGCGCCTAGACCAAAGTCCACATATGGGTTAGCTTATAAGAACTAGGAAAACTGGTCGTAGACCAGTGTCGGAATCACGGAGAGCTCTCCAAGATACAGGCCGCGCCAGGGCACGGTACAAATTGCCTTTAAAGCGAATTTAACTGAACAATTTCTTTTAAACTTTCTTCTGAATTATTTATTCATTCTCTACATCCGTCAGGCCGAGTTATGGGAGTGGCTAAAGGCACATTCCGCGATAAAATAAGGCTATGACCTCTCAAATGTGTCGGACGATCCGGAAGGCGATTTTTGATGCTGCGCTACTTTCAAAATGTGAAAAACGGCAAGACTTCCGCTAGGCAAGCTGGGGACTATTAGGCCCCATGCGACACCCCTAGGCCCATGCCGACCCTCACCGGCTGCTAGCTACTAGCTAGTAGCCACTATGTTATCTTTCTCTATAACATTTCGGACTGCTTTTTCTGCTGCTTTTCTCCGCTAATCAGATACTTAGCACTTTTTTGTGCCTATTTGAGTTCCGTTTCCCGCAATTTGCGGTCGCGAACTGTGCCTTTTAAGTAGCAAAACTCAATATTGGAAGCTTCTTATGTAGCAAATATTACTCCTCCCCAAGAGCTAAAATCCGATTATCCAGGTTCGCGAGACAGACTTCTAACGGTGGTGTATCATGTTGTGTTGTCAATACAAAACTGTTGTGAAAACTGATGTATTGTCAATTCAAGTGCAGCCTTGTTCAGTGTGGATGATGGTGCGTGGGAGGGGTTGGCGTGGCGCCAACCTTTTTCTCCTTTTCGTTAGGCAGTTGACAAAAATTGCATCGTATCTTCTGTATCGGTCGTTTTCCACCAGTTGTCGTCGCTCTGACTACTGTGGACGAAAGGCCTGCCCCACACCAGCCTCACTTGACATAGCTCATCGTTTGCCAAGTATCTGTTGTTGCCATTGTGGCCTAACCGTTGCATTTAGTTGATGGGTGATTACGCAATCAACGTTGGAGTGCTACAGTATGCTAGGAAAATGTCCGAATGCGGTAATAACGTGTATTTTTACTGTTTCGACTATTTCAACCCGGACGGATTCGGCTTTTTGAGGTTTATGTTGCCATATAAAGGTGAGTTTTCTCTCCTGGTAGAAGATCGTTTGTGAGAGATCGTTCCGTAAAGGGAACTGAAACAACTCTCGTTAAGGTTCTACTCACTGCTCTGAACTGCGATATGTTCTTGGAAAGGGGATATTCTCAAAGTTCAAGCCGAATCACGAAGATCTGAAAATGCTCGATATCATGACCGCATACTTCACTAATTTTGCCAAATACGGGTAAGCCTTATAATTGTTCTGATTTCCCAATTGGGAATCATTTGGGAAACTCCATTTATTCGTTGCAGGAATCCTAACGGTGATCAATCTTCCTCTGAAAACGGATCACTATGGGAGCTTTACGATCCTACACAACCATATCGTCATTTACATATCCAATTACCGACACCTGTGATGGCTGATGACTATCAGAAGAGACGCATGGAGCTATGGGACAAAATTTTGCAGAAAAATCGGTCTAGAGCCAGGCTCTAAGCGAATAGGATGTATTCAGGGAAATAGGCGTGTAGCACGAGGTCACCACGCGACGTCGCGCGCACTTGGTGCGACATTCGCGGTAGCTGCTTCGAAATGCTTGCGGAGCGGGGGAGGAGCGCCACTCGAGTACTATTGACGTCGCGTGATAACCTATTGCTACATTCTCCAGGAAACTTTGTGCGTTCAATTTTCCACCTGCCTGCATGGCCTGAGGGTGTGTCGTACAAGGGAGCGTTGCTAGATTCCCTTTCGCGCTGGCTGTACATCTCCTTGTAATACTGGAGCACTACAATGCTTGTTGGCGCTGTTCGGCTTGGGAGGGACATTTCGCACTTTCGCTAGTCCATTTTGCTGATTTATGCGAACTAATAGGCTTCGATGATGAGACCTGTAAACTCGTGTGAAGCTGGGAAATGGTACAGAAAGCTCTCTGTAGTTACAGAACTTAGCAAGTCCCAACAAGGTGACCTGTATGACCTTCGCTGAGCACCATTTGATGCCCCCTAACCGAACTGCTCCTGCCCTAATATGCCGTGAATTAGCATCACAGGAAAAAGGGGATTTGGAGCACTTTGAGAAATGAGCAGGAGTGCTTGTCTGTATTTGATCAAATATTTTCGGCACATTTACCCTATTACACTTTCAACTAAGGGCTAACTTTACGGCGGAAAGTTCCTCCTTGGGTGCA